ACTTGAAATAAAACAAAGCAATTGTTTTTTCTTATTTTAAATGTAAATTGTCTTGTTCCATTGGCAAAGTGTCTCAGTTAAATCCTTAATTCAAGAAAAAATGCACTTATTTTAAGAAGAAATTACTTATTTAAATTTCATTTTTTTGCAGTGTAAATATTAGATATACTTTAAAAAAACAGACAACCAGAAAAATGACAAACTTAAAAATTAAATTATAAAGACTAATAGAAATTATAAAACTAATAGAAAACCATTCTGATATAATAAAACTGCAAAAAGTATAAATAAGTCAGTTATTTTTAAAATAAGTGTATTGTCCATTTATTTGAGAGGGTAAATAACAAAAAATGTCACAGAATAAGATTATTTACATTAAAAATAAGAAAAAAAACCTAAATGTTCTTATTTTGCGTACATCATGTTTAATTGTCTTATTTTATTGGCAAAAACAGAAATATCTTATTTAGATTAAGGGAAAATATCACATTTTTAGGAAAATGTAACTAATTTTCAGATCAGTTATTAAAGTGTAAATAAAAATAATAACAAAAACACTCATTAGAAAAATAAAATACCTGCTTGAAATATCACGGCGACTCAATAACCGTCCATAAACCAGTGTGAGACCCTTTCACGTCCACATTCCCGTGTTTCAGGCACAACGCCACAACAAATGCAGCAGGCTGCCATGTTTTATCACCATTACGTCCTTCTGAGCTATAAAGAGCCAAACTGGAGCTGGACGCCTTTAAACTTGATTCGACTAGACAGGCCAACAATAACTTGCTCTGTAAGGGTAGAGTTTTATACCTACCACTGTTCTGCACAAAGAGAGGCAGTTTTCACTCAATATTTTTGGTGCACTACATTTAGCATTTTCACCTAACACATGCAATGCTAGCATGTCCCAACTGCTTGTAATATAAATCATAGTTAGAGAAGCACAAGCCTCAGCAGGTAGATGACAAAGCATTCTGGTTTTAAAAGTATCCGCCTTCTGGCTGGATTCTGTTACCAGAAACCTTTCAAAAGACTTCACAAAAGAAATGCTGAAGCTAAAGGTTCCCACGACTTTGCATGCTTTAGAAATGCAGCCGTTTCTGTATCAATAGTTTTAAAGCATGAGTATTCTTAAATCATCTTAACTGCCACATAGTGAGTCTCTTCAGGTTCATCTGATGGATCTCAAGGAATCACCAGGCCACAAGGGCAACATAGCACAGTGCACAAAAGCAAATCTATACCCGAGTAAAGGTTGAAAAAATAATCTGAAAATAAATAATGAATCATGTTAAACTAACACACCTTTATTCCACATTGTGATTCAGTTTGTTTCCAAAAGGAGCAAAGGATTATTTCAATTCTGTAAAAGAAGAAAGCAGCCATTTGACAAATGGACTGCAGAAATGAAGAAAGATTTTAACTTGTTCCTTTTTGTTTATAGAGGGAACACCAATAAGCAATCTGAGATCACTCATTCAGATTTCTCTCTGCATCTACAGAAAAAAAAACATTCACAGCTCCATCATTTAAGGCAGGAGACTTCAAAGCTTTCCAGGCTAAGGACCCCCAACCTGATGGTGAAATGGAGCGGGGACCCCCTAATTATATATATTGTATGACATTGTGTTATATCAAACCGGTCCTATAGTCCCTCTTTTACAGATGGAGTAATGTAACAAAAGTAATTTCTCCCTGGGATTATTAAAGTATTTCTGATTCTGATTCCTGGTTGGTGAGACAGGTGTTGTGAATGAAACGGTGCCCAGCTTGAAAGAGCTCCTGTGTGTCGCTGAATGTGTGCATTGATGACTGAAAGACATCTTCTGCCTCCATTTATCTGTTTACTAGTGTGTGTGAATTCATGTTAGATTTAAAGATATTTCAATTAGTGGAAAAAATTGCATGGTTTGGATATAAAAAGAAAAAGTCTAATCAATCAAAACTTTCAAGACCCCCATGCAGTACCCCCGTGGACCCCCTAGGGGTCGCGGACCCCCTTTTGAAAACCTCAGATTTAAGGCACGTTTTTCCACGTCCTGGTGAAGCAGCGTATTCCCAGACCGTCCCAGACCGTCGCTGCATCAAAACCTGCTGGTCTGTTTCTGTGCGGCACACCTTTCCAAATGTTCCCCTTTCTTTTTGTTTTGATCAACAGTGATTTGCACCTAAACGTAAGGAATAGTAAGCAGTTTTGGGAACGTTACTTTATAAAAAAAAACATATATCAATAGTTACTTCTCCCAAAAATGTAATGGTACTGCTCAAACACACTGGGAAAAAAATCGAAATCTAGATAAGTATTTTTTTCTTAAAATAAGTGCATTTGTTCTTGAATTGAGGAGGTAAAAGAGACATTTTGCCAATGGAACAAGACAATTTACACTTAAAATAAGAAAACACAATTGCCTTGTCTTATTTCAAGCGCATATTCTCCAATTATCTTATTTTAAGAGTAAAAATACTAATTCCATTGTCAAACTATCTTATTTACCTACTTAGAATAAGGATAAATACACTTAATTTAAGAATTTTTTACTTCTTTCTAGATCGTTTTTGCAGTGAGAACTAGTTACTAGGCAAAGTAGCTAACCAGTTACTTGTCATAATCTAAAATCTCAATGAATTTGAATGACCTGTAATCAGAACCTTAAATCCAAATGAGAGTTCAGCTGTTTACTATAGAATGCTTAATAATAATTAACAAAATATACAACTTATTCATCTAAAGGACAACACATCGACTGATCTACATCATTTTGGCGTCTGTGGTGAAACAAGTCAGCAAAGGCACACAGTTACAATCGATCTATGAAGATGTGATTATTATGTTTAATGTTTATACTGGAAGAACATTTCAGTATAATATAGGAATATTTATGCTTGTTAAAAGGATGAATAGTAAAGCCAAAAAGGAGTGATTTTCAAGTTGCTGAACATATTAAATACATTTTGTGGTAATATAAGACAATAGTCACTGTTCCAGTAAAACAAAAAAAAAACAGAAAGACTGTCTTCTAATATGGCAATGTAAAAAGTAACAGCAGCCTAAATTCACTATAAAACTGAAGTAAAGCAAAGTTTTGATAAACTAAGGCAGCCAGATGTTGTTAGTGTTGTTGACAGCGAGGCGATGTGAGCAGCTTTATTAGATTAAGCTGCTTGTAACCAACGTGGATAAAGTCTTTTTTTCCGGACATAATTAGCAAAATCACAGGAAAACTCAGCCTTTGATTTTTAGAGAGGGTTTCCAGTTTAGGAATGCCAACTTAGACTCTGGAGATCAGCAATCGCCTCACGTCTCTCCTTTCTGTGTGAGCCACCTTTGCATGCTGAACCCGCCCACTTTACTTCCCTTCAGCCAATCGTACGCCTGCATCTCAGCTGCTGCTTTGTCTCTGCACTGAAAGATCTCTCCCTGCAGCAGGAAGGGCGTATTTATGGAAAGTCAATTTGATTTATTGAGTTAAGTTAATGTGCAAGTAACATAAAGCCCTATCAATATTTTGGGCGTAATTTTTTTTTAGATCACTCCATTACTGAAAATCTAACTAACTAGTGTCGTTATTATGTAATGCCATTACCTGCAACACTGCTGGTCAGCTTGTGAACTTATAAAAAAAATAGGGATGCACGATATTTGGATTTTGGCCGATATCCGATATGCCGATATTTTAAAACTCATGTAGCCGATAACCGATATCGATACCGATGTTAAAGCTGGACAAAAATAAGTAGTCATTGAAAATAGCAGTTTTGTTATCCATTTCTGACACTTTGAAAAATAATATACTCAAATATATTTTCATATGCTGATATCAAATTGATTTTTAAAAACGCGGTATCGATCTATTTTACTTTCAAAATCTCGTGAAATTTCATCGTTCTGTTACAAACTCTGGTGATATTTTGCAAATTCTTGTGAGATTTTGTTAGTAAAATAGATCGATACCGCGTCAATATATCAACATATAAAAATATGGCAAAATTTCGTGAATTTTCGGGGGATTTCGTAGCATAACGATGACATATAGCAATATTTCATTAGTAAAAGAGATTGATATGGTGTTTTTAAATGGCAATATATCAGCATATGAAGATATTGTGATATTTTATTGTATCAATAGTTTTTCCCTCGTCTTTAGAAGTTTTTAAGTCTGTTAAAAAGAAGTTTTTGAGGAAGAAGAAGTAGTATTTTATTTTTTTTTTAGACTTTAGAAACTCAGAAGCTGATCAAATATCGGGTTAAATATCGGTGGGGTGGCCGATGTCCGATATTCAGTTTTAAGGCCGATACAGGCCGATACCGATAGGGGGCCGATTATATCGTGCATCCCTAAAAAAAAATGTGGTTAGTCACATTTGACTCCTTGTTTTATTATTTAAAACTTATTTTTTTGTTTTATTTACTAAATTTTTGTGATTATCTGCAACCAAGAGTGCCATAAAAAAAGATGAAAAACAAAAATAAAAATATGCAAACAAAAAACAGACGCAAATACGTCATGGCGAAAAATCCATCTTTATGACGCTGTAAATTTAAACTGCAAAAATGGTAATAAACTAAAACTTATTTACTTGGTCCTTTATGGCAGGTTTAGCAAGGAAACATGTACTTCGCAGAAACCAAAATTAGCAAATAAAAAATCAAAACATTAATCAACATGGGTATTGTTTGCAGATCTTCCAAAAATATGAGCCGTCTCTTTCTTATAGAACATTTCTTCAAATTATTCTTTATCAAAGGCTGATGTTTGGTCAGTAAATATCAGTAAAACTAATAATGACTTAATGTGATCCATTTCTTACTCAACACTGATCTGTTTTTTGTTTCCTCAAGAGGAGGATTATATAAAGCTTTATAGAAAGCTGCCATTTGACTTAGATCAGACCATGAGAGCATCAGAGTAAAGCCTTAAAGTTGTTTTGGCCCCAGGCTCTGCAACCAGTAAGTAGTGAGGAAGCTTTCATCTTAGTCTTCGGTAATATTACTTTTTTATTGGTTTGAGGCAATAAAAAAATCAAAGGATGATTGTAATTATATTAAATAAGCACTGTAAGAGTTTTATTTTGTTTTCTTGTAGGAAACTGAAGTCTGGTAAATACTTTATCTGCAGTGCACTTCAACCACGACTCCAGGAGGTGGAAGGAGCCTAGTGTTACACTGACAAACAAGGATGTGCTATCAAGTGCCAACAGCAAGCAGGACCGGATATAGTTTACGAGGCGATGGTGTTCGAGTCACAGGAAGGTAACAGCATGAAAGATTTATGAATTCAGGACTCTATGGCCAACAGTGTTCAATACAGACTCTCACTGGTGGATTATTTTTAAGCAGCGAAAGTGAGCAACGAGTTTAGAAACCCATTAGTGTAAAATGAAAAGTGAACCAAAACAGGCGTATTTACGGTTTTTCTGTTGACAGAGAAAACATGAGTGTTTACTGATAAGTACTGAAGGGAACCTTTTATTGTATATCCTGGGTGTTACATGTTACATTTACTTTGCCAAACACCTCCATCCTGCACACCTCAACGCACACGGTCGCTTCAGAAATGACCAGAAGTAACCCCAGGTTGAAGGATTTTCTCCTTCAGAGCCTGGACAGGTAATAAAGCTGGAGGTCTTTTGATCTGTTTAGGAAGCTGGGCTGCAGTGTGACCACAGGTTTTCACCAAACTATTGGCTGCACAGCAACACAGTTCAAGCCACTGAGGAAAAATACAGTTTTTCCAAAGCTCTATAGCAAAATTATACTCATTGCAATCAGATGTAAAGTTTAACGTTTTCCTCCTGAGACTTGAAAAAGATAAAACTGTCCTCCAATTTCTTTTTTTATGTGATTTCCTATCTACTTACACCTAAAAGAACACCTTTTTATATCTTTTTTGGATGATTTAAGTATGAAATAGCAACAAAATGTATTGAAATGTAAGAGATTTCTGATTTTAAAATAACTCTAACCAAAAAAAGTACATTTTAACAAAACGCAAATCATTTCTGTTCATCTTCCGTCATTTTTAGGGGATAAAATTCCATTAATTTTTTTGGAATGAGAGCAGTAAACTATAAAACTCATACTTGCTTAAACTGTTTTTCCGTTCTCTCTTCCTATAGATATTTTAATAGGTAATAATCCCAGAAGCTGTTTTCTTCTTAGTAAAGCATCTTACATTTGCTTAATTCTGTTCTAGTTTAGTATTTTTTTTTTTTTTTATGAATCTTCTACTTCAACTGTAATTTATATTTCTAAATGAAGCACAACATAGTTATCTTTAATCATATATATATCATAGATATAATTTCCCAGCAACAAAACTATGGCTAGTAAAATGCTTTGTGGCTAGTAACTTTTAAAACCACTAGCCACGGTGGCTTTTGAGAAAAACAGCTCAAGTCAAGCCCTGCTTAAAAGGGTGAGAGGACCTTGTGTAACATTGTCAAGCAATGATCAATCAAATTCAATTCAATAATATAACTTTTTTTTTTTTTCTGAACAATAAATCCACCTGAAAGGAGGTACTACAAGAATTTAACTAGTCCTGAATTGGTATCGACTTGCACTGTAGTGACGACATACTTAATTACAAAAAGACTAAAGCACGTTATTCAGGTAGTGCATGGAATGACATCAACAAAGATACTAAAAACAGAAAGGAAAGCAAAAACTGTAAAAGAAAATATTTAAAAAGTTACAGTCATATCAAGTTGTTTAAAAGCAGAAGGAAGAGACTCTCTGATGTAAAAATTTGTTTATGACCAAAAAAAGGGTGCAGAAAAAATTCCAAGTTAAAGAACAAAACTAAAAGTTAAACTACATTTATACTAAACAGTACTTTAAAAACTAATTGCAGAAGTAAAAAATTGATTAAAGGAAGAAATTCTTAATGGAAAGTGAGTCAGATCGGAGATGAGCAGTCAAAAAGATGGAGGAACGGTTGAGTGATTAAACAGAGAAACAGACAGACAGAAAGACAGGCAGCTGGACTACAGATCAGTAGGAAAGAGAGTAAAGTTTGGAGAACATTGCAGATTTATCCTCACTATTCTGAGTCTGGAACATATTTAAATCAACACCTAAACCTTTCCAGATTACACAGAAACTTAACAAAAAAGAAAAAAAAAACAGAATATGAATGCATTTCAACTGCAATACCTAGCAGCAAAATCTGGAACATTCTGCAATAACAGAAAAATGGAACAAAAAACATAATATTGGGGGGTTGCAATTGTTTATCAACATTGAAGGGAAAAAAATAAAGAAAGGCTGCTTCAATTTCCTTTTTCTTATCTTCTATGTTTGGTTATATGACTTGCAAGTTATACTGTATGAGTGTTCCTGAGCTAACCAGGTGATACACACATGCAAAGCCTTAAATTAGGTATGCTAACATTTTTCAAGTGTCATCTCCCTCAGGGTGACATGCAATTAACCTTCTGTTATTGCACCAAGAAGAAGATCTCTAAGTGTGTTAGGGATGCTCCTTATAAAGAACAGTTTTTCTATGCACCTTAGGAAATGACTACAAAAGTTAATCTAAGTTTGACTAAACATATATGTATGAAAGCTAGATGTTATACCAAGAGAAAAACATATGCACCTCTTCTAAAATAAATCTGGTGCGATTAGAGAGAGGGACATGGATCCAGATGCAATTTTAAAAGGATCCAAAAGGATAACTTTGAAGCAAAGCAGGTGGTGGAAACCTCTAAACAAATATCGGGGCAGCTTACGGAAATCTTTTGCATGTAACACTGATGGACTGAGGTAACTCAGTAAAAGCAGCGACTCAGATTCATTGGCAGGAAAGACCTTTGTTGCACGGAAACGTAGAAGAGCTCCAGAAAAACAACCTGGAGGTTTGGCTTGCAGCAAAACTATGCATTCAGATTTAATGTTACGACATTTTTACTCAGACATCACCGTATAGGTCATCTTCCATTTTCACCATACAGCAGAGTTCATACCTCTTACACTTGGTTACTTTTATCACACGAGAATCCCAAAGAGTTAAGTGGAAGAGAAAAGGAGGATGACTTTTAGAGTTATTTGTATTTATTTGTTCCCCTGAGGCAATGTCAGGTGCAATTTCACGTCTGGAGAGTGAAACGGCACAAGATTGCATGAACAGAGAACCTGAGCATCAATTTTTGAGGCTTCGGATCGGAGGATGATTGCTCTGCAGGAAGATTTAAGCTTTCACTGAGGTTTAAATCTGTTACAGCCTCTAGCAGGTTTTCTTCCCATTTTAGCTTCATGCATTTATAAAACAATGTTAACTTCCCTCATCTCCTGGAGAAAGAATTCCCCTCATCATGATGCAGCCACCGCCATGTTTCGCTGTGTGGATTTCAAGCCTTTCTGAAGGCTTTCACAGGACGCTCTTCGCTTTTTTCACGACTTTCAATCGAGATGTTGTGAGAAAATAATCTAAAATTGTTTCAGATGTTAAAATCTGAGAGTTTAACCTTTAGGAAACAGGGACCATATGAAAGACGCTTAAATTTTTTTTTGGGTTTTATAAAAAATTTAGCTTAAGAAGATTAAACAAACAAAGAAAAAATCTTTGGAAAAAAACTGAAACAAACTAGAGGAAAGTGCTTAAAATTTGCTTTAAAATATCAAAATTAAATCTGAATGCTTACATTTTTTTATCTCTTGGACCATCCTGTACATTCCTAACAATGTATTACATCAACAAAGTAAAAAAACAGCTTTTCCCTCACAGTCTTTTATATAGAAAAAAATCCCCCTGCGAAGCACAAACTACCTGCTTAGCTGTGAGCTACAGTAAAGCACATATTATAGGGTGGTGGCATAAACCCACGCCCACACAACGCTTCCAGTCGTCATTAGAAACACTCAAAACACCTTCAGGACAAACTAAACAAAAGTCACCAAGCTGCCTGTGCTGGTTCCTTCACTATATCCAGCCAAAGCCAGACATTGACACACTATCTATGCTGGCCAATGAGACAGTCTTATCAAGTATATTCCAAATGATAGACAGGTTGTATCTTGCAGCGAGCACACATTGAGTACGGTACAAGTTTTATAGGTGATCCGATGCAGCCTGCTTTCTAAGACCAACTGTAGAAGTTGTAATCCAAACAAACAGCCTACATGACGAATCGACGCGCTGCCAAGTGCAAATGTAGGCCATCATAGCGAGCCCTCTAAACTGGCTCCTAAGAGAGCAAGCTTTGGCTCTGATAAAGTCAAACTAGCCACTCTGTGGGCCCTAGAAGGAAAGGCGGTGTTGATGTTGGCTGCAGTCTGGCTGATAGGACGCCTGCTAGCGAACACTGGCCACTGTCAGATAAACGCTACACAGCCCAGCAAGTGCTTTAAAACCCTGGCAAATTCACGAGAAACATTAAACAATGGCTTGATTTAGATATTATGGTTTATGATCATAAATCTGTGTAGAAACTGCAAAGCAGCTTGAAATAGCCTCGGTTTTATGAAGCTTGTACACTTTCAATATTTGAGGTTTATACACATTCATTGAACAGCTTCATAGATGGCTGCAGCTCTATAAAAGCATCACGGCCAAAATAAATACTGTTCCACCACAGCCTTCTTTCCTTCTATGTGCTGAACATCCTTTATTCCACTGCTTTTAAATATACTTTCCATTACATTGCTTTTCATTGAAAAACGAGGCCAAAAGCTATGAAATCTACATGTTTAATCAACTAACAGGAAAACAGATTTTAGCTTTTTTTTTTTTATTAGTGAGTGCATTGCTTATTGAAAGCAATCCTAGTTCACTCAACCCTAGATAGTATCTGCTTAACTTTATTTATTTTCAATGCCCTTGTTTAAGGTTTGATTTAATCTGTAGCTTTTTCTCGTCTTATATTTGTTCATAACATGAGAAAGTTTGTTTCATTTCAACTTTTCTACTAATGTATGTCTTCCACTAAAATATTTAAGGAGAGAGTTACCGCATTGCTCATAGGGGCCAATAGGTCGTGCTGATAGCAGCCCTTATCGGTGCGTAGGATGGAAGAATCAATACAAGCCGTTTCCAATCAGAGAGGTATTAACAGGATGCCAGAGGAAGCACAAACTGCTAGAAGATTCCGGAAATGCACTAGATTTTTTTTCTTTTTCAGTGGGGAAATCTCAGCTGTTCATTCAGGGATTTACTTTAGGACATAACAGGAAACCAAACTTAATAGAGCTGCTACCATTTCATCCTTTTAAGCAGTGACATTCCCTCTTTCATTGAACACTGCATCAGT